AACTCCCAACGCAAGAAAGACGTGGAGCAGCTGGACCAAGTCCAGAGGAGGGCAACCAAGATGGTCAGAGGCCTGTCCTCCTACGAGAACAGGCTGAGAGAGTTGGGCTTGTCCAGCCTGGGAAAGAGAAGGCTCCAGAGAGACCTTATAGCGACCTGACAGTGCCTGAAGGGGCTATAAGAAGGCTGGGGAGGGACTTTTTACAAGGGCTGTAGTGATAGGCTGAGGAGTAACGGGTGGAAGCTGCAAGAGCGTAGGTTTAGACTAGATGTAAGGAAGAAATTCTTTACCCTGAGGATGGTGAGGTACTGGCACAGGTTGCCCAGGGAGGTTGTGGATGTTCCACCCCTGAAGGTGCACAAGGCCAGGCTGGATGGGGCACTGAGCAACCTGATCTAGTGGGAGATGTCTCTGCTGTGGCAGGAGGGTTGGAACTAGATGATCTTTGAGGTCCCTTCCAAACCAAATCGTTCTGTGATTCTGTTTTATGATTCTTCTAATTCATAGCTTCTGGGAGGAAGGAGCTGCTCACTCAGTGATACATTACAGAATAGCACCTTCAAATTGCACAACGTACCCTGCTGTGCAGAATTTTGTGATGTTCTCCTTACGTATCAGTTCTTCTTTGTTTTCATTTTATCCACTGAAGGAGAACTGAAAGCTTCTGTATGGAAGCTAATAATCACGATCCTAATTTGACCTACAGGATACCCCTGGACTACAGTACATTGTGATAGACAGTATAAGCAAAGAGCAGACAGAAGAAAAAGCCAGGCTGCTGAATTTAACTGGATTGGAGAAGTCCATTAAGACTGAAGGTCTTTCAGAGCTCAGTGTCACCAGCTGCTGATTCCTCAAGCCAGAATTTCAACCTTTTAAATTCACTATCACCAGAAACCCCAACTCTTCTTCCATTCAAATGAAGTAAAAGGCACTGCAATTTCACGTTATAAAGTTTCACTTAAGTAACTCATTTAAAGAGTTAGACTCTGCTGAAAGTATAATTTTGCATGATCTATCACCACATTTTAGAAACCCAGTTAACGTCACCAATTTTATGTTCTCATACTCCACACAACACCTCAATTTACTTTCTCTCAGTTATTTATTCAGTTATTACTACGCTGTCAGTTGGCACTATCATTGAATGACAAGCTTAGTTAACACCTAATGCAGTATCATCCACTTTTCCACTGCACAGACGAAAACTCAGGCTCCTACGTCTATATAATTAGCTTCTATAATGCCATGGACTTAAAAACAATTTGGTACCTAGCCCCCGTGTTTTGTAGAATTCAGCACTGTTTTGTGGCTGAGCAGTTCATCAATGCTGTGCCATCTAGTTCCAGAAGGGCTCATTATTGCAGCTCCAGAGTAGGTCATTGATTCACTGCCAACAAATTCCAGAACGGTTCACCAATTCAGCGGTATCTAACGCAGAACTGGCAGCAATTCATTGTCATCGAGTGTCTGAGTAGTGTATTAATTCAATGTCACATAATTCTCGAGAAGTGCCTTCAAAGTCACTTATCTCCAAAGTGGTTTACCATTTCAATGTCACCAAAGTCCACAGTGGGGCATTCACTCTGTCTCATCTCCTTCCACTGTAGTTCATCAATTCAGTACCCCAAAACTTGGAGGTAGTATTTAACCTGATTAAAACTCATCAAGAAATAAAAAGGTGCTGCGAAAATGGCAAAATATGTATTGTATAAATGTAGGAACCAAGCCTAGAGGATCTCCATTACAAAGACTTAAGTTTTAGTTAGCCAGATACTTGTAAAGAATTTTAAAAATATACATCTACTAAATTCTTTAGCTATCCATCCAGCACGGCGCATATTCAAAACCTAATACATGCTGTATATGCATGGATATCCAAACACACAGAGCAAGTGCATGTCTTCCTTTAAACCAGACCAAATTCAGACTCTGTTCATTATCAAGTATCCCCCTGAATAAAATAATTCAGTCACCACCTTTGTAAAACTGCTGCTCAGTTGGGAGAATTGCTCAAGGACATACTGCGGGTCAGAAGAGGGATACCGAGGCCATGGCTCCCCTGACCAGAGCAGTCTGCCCAAACACCTCTCCTAGAACCTGTAGACTGAATAATCCCTACATGTTACACCACACACATGCTCAATTCTTTCTCAAGGAAGAAGAAACGTCTATGATAATACATGCTCAATTTCCAAAAAAATCTTCTGCTGCTTATGTGGGTAGTATTGGAAAGCCTGGTGTGTGCATTTTAACTGCCAGTCGCTGTACAACATCTAAGGCTATAGTCTACTGCCCAAATTTATAGCATCATCTCAAATACTTAAGCCCAGTAAGTCTAATATTTTTAACAACTTTAAAATTCTGGAAGCAAATTTTCATCAAGTACCAATCTCAGTATCTCAAGCAGGTTCTTACAGTAGCATCTCGACAGAGAAAAAACAGACTTGCACCCTGTTCTAACTACTATCCCGAACAAAAAATCTCAATTTTGATCTCTAAGCTATATACAATGCTGTTAGGTATATGCACAAAACTGGCACTGAAACAAAGTAGAGATGGGTTTCCAGCTGCTCATGGCTATTACTGTATGCATCAGAAAAATAATCAGAAGACTAATTATAGAAAAAGGGCAGCAGAATCAGCCCACTTAGTGAAGGGTGGCCCTTCCTTCGTAACCCTCAGACTATTAACTCTGTGGATGGCAACCTGCAGCGTGGGGAAGACTCTGGCATGGAACAACCTCATCACCTTTGACAATAACAGGGTGGCGCTTTGGTTCTCTGCTTGCCAACGTGCCAGCCAAAGGGCCCTGTGGGAGCAGCAAAATTAAAAACCTGACAGAGCTCACTTCTCCCTGCAGCAAAGGAGAAAAAGAAATCAAGTTGTACTATGAGTTCTAAACCACCCAGTGCTCTGTGCCTGGACACAGGCACAATGGATTAGCTCTTACTCAGGGCAGGTGGAAAGGTGACAGTCTAGTATTAGTGACAGATGAAAGACCGACAGAAATTTTGTTGCCCCTGGCTTGCCATCCAGACCTCCTTGGGAACAGAGATCAAAACAAAGTCCGTGACAGCACAAATCCTACAGCATCGTAGTGCCAGTAACGTTTTAAAAGATGCATTCAAAACGAAACTGCTCGTTATGGTACCAAGGGATTCTAAAAATTGTAAGAAGGTTTTATAATAAAACAGGCTTTGGTAAGCGCCCAAATCTCCCCAGTGTTTAGAACAGGCTGGTACCGGCATTTTGCTTGCGGTACCTCCCCTTGCCCATCTCCCTGGATTGGTGAGTTAAGTGAATACTCATTACCCGGATAAAACTGAAGCCTGAAGTAAATTTGAACTCCGTTTGTGTTTCAGGGTTTCAAAACACCAGTGTGATGTCCTTTTTTGAATAAATTCCACACATTTGAATAAAATCTACACTCACACGCACCAGTAAGCAGCCTGGCCTCCTGGGGACTCCTCAGCTCACACGAGGGCGAATGTCATGAGATGGTAGAGCAGTGCCTCTTGGGCAAACATTTATAAATGAACAAGGATGAAGTTTTCTTCTCAACCTGTTAGTGCATGGAAGCTGCTTTGGTCAGAACGAGCCTTGTTTTTCCCAGCGCTAAAGATTTGCTCTATGACTAACACTGGTGGAAGGGCAGAGGAAGAAAAAAGCTTCAGCCACCTGCGACAGATCTGGCCTGCAGCTCATACGGGAATAACTGTGTGTACAGAATAACAACTTGAAATAAACTCACAATCAATTTGAAGGGAAAGAATGTAGTATTTTCATAGCCTTTAAACGAACATTCAATTCACAGAATCCTAGAACTGTATAGGTTGGAAAAGACCTTTAAGATCATTGAGTCCAGCCAGGCCAGACCCACCACTAAACGTGTCCCTAAGCATCACGTGGCTTTTAAATCCCCCAAGGGCTGGTGACCCAACCATCGCCCTTTCCCTCATTGTCTTTTTCTCAGTGCACCAGGCAACGGCCCTGGGCTGATTTTCCTTGCATTCGTGATGCTCCTTAGCTAGAGCAGGAAAAATAATCAGACTCACAGGGACGAAAAATACAAAAACCCCCAACCTGAGACAATGAACAGTCTATGCAAAAACACGTATTGAATTATTTGTGGTACAAAGTTTCATTTTTTTTAACTAGGGCCCAACTGAGGCTTGCATAGGAAGACGTATAATATAAGATAGGATACTAAGTGAGTCAGATGTCTGACAGCCAGACTTCCCAGACCTTTTCCTTACAGGAAGGATGATAAAAATCATCATCAAAGGACCTTTCAAATTACTTTCATTACAAAAAGAAAACCATTAAGTGGAAAAAGCAAGCCCTCACACCATGAGGCAGAGCCAAAGCAAACCAGTTTGTGAAATAAACTTCTTCCTGCCTAGAGATGCTGCAAAGAACTTACTTGTCTTTGTCACAGCAGGTCCTTGTCTCCAGTTTGCTCTCAGTCAGCGTTGCAATAAACTCCACGCAGCCCTAAGGGGTGCTGAAGGAATGTTTTTCTACCTGTCACCCCTGCTGTGTATCTATCCCCCGGTCCTCTCGGTAGCATCCCAACATTTGCTGCGATGTAACCAGCCCAGCTGGGAGGAAGTTTGTATGTAGGTTGTACAATGTGTTTACAAAGAAGTAATTGTGACAGCCCAACACAAAAAGCCCTGCTTACACTGAAAATGTTCAGTTGTGTCATCAACTCCTTGTTTCTATATAAACATGACTCCTGTCTGTATCAGCGAGACCTACAACTGTGTAACATCCACGTGACTTGTGAGCACTTAGCTCAAAACTGATCAGCTCCTTGTACGGAAGGCAAGCTTAGAGATCCACGAATGCAATTTCTGCTGCTCACATACCACCATCACCATTGTAGTTCTGGTAACAAAACAGCTACAGAGCAGTTATCAATATCCTCAAAAAACCCCCAATACAGATATGTATACTAAAAAGAGATTTAAAAGTAAAGGTTTCTTAAAACTTACTTTTGGATGGGACGCGCAGATTGGATCGTACCACTTGTAAGGAATCTGCCTGAACTCGAAGCTCATAACTTTTCACGCTTTCATAATCCAGGGGTTTTTTAACCGAGATCACGCCTGTTCTGTTATTGATAGCAAACACATCTGAAATCCACCAAAAACAGAAGTAACTTTCTAAGATGCATATACACTTTTTTTCTCAAGTGCTTCTCTTTTGGAGATGATACTACTCTCTGACACTCTATTCAGAGAGTCGTTCCACTCCTTCCTCAGGCCTCTGAAATCCCATTCGAAGTTGTCTTTAAAGGGGTACCTGACCCGGAACAACCAACCTCAGGACGTGCTGGCAAGAGCAGCCCACTCTCACAAAAAGGAGGATGGGAAGAGGAATTCTTCCACTTCTCTCCAAATAATTTAGTGTCTTTTTTCCTAGAGAATTCAAGGTGAATTGCGGAGAGTACCCAAGAAGGATGCAAATGTAGGAACGATGTTTTGTTTAAATACCAGCTCTAATACTTCTAGCATGTAAAGTCCGTAATGTCTAAAAATACACGTAGCATGGCAAAGTCTATAATGCCTTAAAACAGATTTCTAAGCAAGAAGTACAACACCATCAAAGCTTATTTCAGTCTGCCATGGATTCACCCCATGTGTCACTGATATGAATTTTCACATCTATGAGAATTTCATTGTATTTTCATTTTTATTGTAATTCTCCTAACTAATATGATCTTGAGCTGATCTCTAAAGGCTTGACAATGGCAGTCCCTCCTGCTCGTACAGATGAGGTGGGATTTCACTTCAGCAGTTTTATTTCTAATCGCTGTCTCTTGAAGATTTTTGATGCATGCACTAGGCTCAGCCTAAGACTGAAATTCCAGTCAGCACTAAGACCAAAACAGTACTTACCCTCTTCATTCCCTGCAACAATTGAATACACAATTGTCTGGTTCAAGGCGGCCGCTGTAACAACTGCAACCACAGTTCCTTTTGGTGCACTTTCACTCACTGGTGGGGGTCTGCAGAATTGAAAAAAAGTATTTGCGTTAATCTTCCAGATGCCTGAAGAGTAGATTACCAAAACTTATTCCTCAGGTTAGCAGCTTCATCCAGTCTGTCAAAGTGAAAGCATCTGCTATTACAGAAAGAGATATTAAAACAACAAAGGTTTAATCTTTGCCTCTGCAAATGCAAACAAAAAAGTGAGGAGTCTAAGTGACAAGAGGTGGCAATATAAAGATGTAATGGTTCTTTGTGCACTGATCTTCAAAATTCTGGACGGGATCTGCACCTGCTTTCATTTCAGAGAATATTTTATGACTTCCCTCTTTCAAGCCTCCAGGCATTTTTCAAATACTCCACCCCAGACCACACCTTCCTATTCCGTGGGCAGAAAGCTGGGACCCCAGGTGGCAACCCTAACGACTGAACCCAAACTTTTATCATCACACCAACAATCCGCCCTTGATCTCTGTCTTACCAACATTTCCTTCGGGATGAATATTGTTTTGAACATCCTAGAAAAAGTTCCAGTTAATGACACTGAATATATGGAACGCAGTTAAAAATCAAGATCCATGAGCCACAGGTCTAAGATGCACTCTTCCTTCCCTTCTTGTAATATCTTCCATTGCTTTATTTGCTTGTTTTGTTTTGCTTCCTGTGGAGGGCCCTTAAATTAAAACACTGTATCTCACTTAGCATAGGGAGGTATCAATTCTTCTGAGTGTCCCTAGGCCTTCCACTGTGCAAATAATGGGGAGAAAATACTGTTCCAGGCTAAGCCACGCTGCATCATGCAATAGTCACTGTACTGGAACATCAACCTCCCGATTTTTTTGCAGAAAAAAGATGATGGTAAGCTTACTTCTACTCAAACAACATGCACACACAGAGCAGATCACTCTGGCTCCCATCTTTCTGCCTCAAGTGTGCTATCAGCAGTAGAAATAAAATTCATTATTGCTACCTGATTTACTAAGCCGCAAAACTAGTGCTATAAAGTCCTTATTAATGTGCATTCTACAAACACAAAGGTTAATCTCGGAGACAAGAAAACAAGGCTGTCAAATCCGAAAGCATTTCAAGCTGTAGCTCTTTTGCTGAGGTCAGAGATGAGGGCTAGCTAGGAAAACAAAGACCCTTTTTATCTTGCATTATCTATTATGTTGTTCTCTTTTTCTTTGAAGGCGTAAGATTTGAACAAAAAGCCCTCATGACCGTGTATAGGCAAGCGTTGCATTTCACCCAAAACACACTTTTTGTATATTCTTTTAATGGAAACAGCCTTATAACTTCCCCTCTGACAGAGCTGAGTTCAGTGAACTGACAAATCAGTATCAATTAGCAAGTGGCTTTTGTGTTTGCTATGAGACTATAGAGGGAGCGGACAGAAGGCTGCCACAGTTATTGTATTGATTTAATTTCCCTGACTTAACTAAGGTGATCGCGTCCAACATGAGCCATGCATCCGCTGAATTCAAAAGTACAGCTGGGCTCTTCAGAACGTTTTGCTGAAATGTGGAGAAGTGAACTGGCAAAAGACAATGGTATTCAGCTGACAAAATACTGTTCCTTATCCTGTACTACAACCTCCAGTAAGCTTTCTTTGGGGATAAGTTCATTATTTTCCAATTTTTGAATGACTCTGTTGTACATTACTGGAAGCTGTTTTAGAGGTCAGGCATTTTTATGCAATAGTTTTACATTCCCGGATGATAAAGCCAGCTACTTTCATGAGAGGACGTGACACTGGCCAAGCAGGGCAGTCCAGTCCAAGCCACTCAGAGAAGGCTTAGAAAACCCACAGCGTGGTGAAAAGGCAGGGCACTGCTGAGACTTACACACACAATTAGGATTCAGAGTCTTCCTCTCTCCTCCCGAACACTCTCCTTTGCACAACCATTGTTTTTGACCGTGATAAAATAAAACTATTTCTATACCGACGTCTCCTTCGCTCACTCGATATTTTCCTCCAACCGTCACCGCAATGTGTGATTTAGGTTAGTCATCCTCACTCTAATGTTTTCAGGGAAATAGCAGATGGTGTCTTGTCAGCATCCAAGACGGGATGGACACCAGGAGGGGTCCCCATCACCGGCCATGCAACAAAAGCCTTGTAGGACCCCCAGACTTGGCATGAGGCCACCCAACCACAAGGTGAGGCGAGAGAAGAAGACACCAAGGCAGGCAAGTGTCACGAAGGAACAGCCTCAGCCGCTTTGTGCCATGCTGACATAACATTGGTACCCGTTGGCTTCAGATTTGGGAAGAATAAAGTAATTTAAAATTGACAAAACCGATGGTCAATAACAGGTCTTCCATCCCACTCTTCTGATTTAGTTACCCCTGAATAGATTTAAGAATTGCCTGTATTTCTTTGAGGCCTCTATTGCATTTCTTACTGCTTCAGTATGAAGCTGTGCCACAAAATGCTCCTGGCCCTCAGGAAAAAAAAAAAAAAAGCAGTCCCAAACTAGAACAACAGGATTTAAAGACAGCCATTATTTACATACAAAACCAGGGCACAAACTCTAGGAGAATCACATCTTTTAATCTGCTACATCTCTGTTATCTGTATCTTGATGAAAGGGGGAAATAGAGACTGAACACATACCAAATATATTGCAGGGCATAATCTTCTGATGTCCAAAGCAAAATTTTAACTTTTCCTCTTCTCTTTTCTGCTTCTTTTTTACTCTTGCTAAACATGTCAGACTCTTACCCATTTTTCAATTTGCCTCGTATCCAATATGCTTTAAATTCACCATGAAACTTTTCTATCTCCAAAAGCATGAACATGAGAGCTAATCAAAAATGAAATTTAAAACCTGCAGTCCCAATAACAAGTTGGAAAATTGGTTTAGCACTGAAGCTTAATAGCGTGATGTGTATGTACTCTGTATTAGATACTTCAGTCCACTCATTTTGTGGACTACCTTTTAGTCCATGGTCCAGAAGCATATCTCAGAATCTAAATATTTTATTTAAGTTATCTGATCGCTAAGATTCTTAGCTTATTAAAATGTCATTTGGACCTCTCCCGGGAAAATCATCTCCCTGCCTTCTCTCACATTTTACCTTCTTAAAGTGTTCTGGCCTTGGCTACTCTTAACTCTCAAGAGCATTTTATCTCAAGCTATTCCACCCTTTTCTATCTGAAACATGTTTCTGAGCAGTGTACCCATGCCTGCACAGACCCTTCATCTCACTCCTCACTGGAAATGATTTCTTGTGGTTTTTTGACCACCTGATGCTTTGCGTTAAAAAGAAGCTATGCAAGTCATGAAAAACAACTCCTTTCATGTATTCTTCACTACAAAGAAACACTTAAATTCCGCTGGCTACGCAGCTGAGTTTTTAAAATTACGAAAAAATAAGTACAAGTTTCTAAGTAGTATAGCAAAATGTAAAGAAACCAGAAAGCAAAAAGTAAAAAACATGATTGCAGATCTTCAAATCATTTCACCAGCACATTTAGACTATCTTGGCTTCCTGTCCTTGCTCTAAAAAAGGAGGACGTGGCCACATTTTAGAACAATAATTGAACAATTTCTCAAATTTTGAGTATCCAGGAAGTGCAACCGTAACAATCTGAACAGTCTGCTAGAGACAGTGATTCTTTTTTTTTTCCCCTGTGAAAAAGTATCTTTTTTTTTTTTTCCTGTGAAAAAGTATCTTCTTCTTAATTAGATGTATTTTTTCAGGCAGTTTATCTTCAAAGTGTCCTGCAAAGGATCACGTATTCCTTACTGTACTTAGTATCCTCGTTCTCTGTCTCAATTCTCCAATTGGTTCAGGACATTCTGCCCTTTCCATGGTATTTATCTGTAAAACAGATGACAAAGGAGTCTGGCCATTGTTACAGTGAACCCTTGTCATAACCTATTATTTTCTAAACCAAATGTCAAATTTTGTTCCTGTGAACTCTCTGTCATCAGGCATAATGCATAAATGTTATCTCACCAATCTTCCTCAATTAAAGCTAAGGACATGAAGACATGAAATTTTCTGTCAGGATTACTACAGAAGCAAAAAAGGGAAAATAAAAAAAATTCCCATCAAGCACAATGTAGGGCAAACTCACACATACCTGAATTGGTCAGACGGACAGGGATCGATAGGATGGATTCCAAGACCAATGACAACACTGTGGCTTTGCACTCTTATAACAGACTCGTGAAAGCTAACAGTGTAATGCTACAGTTGTGTATTATTTCTATTCCATATTCACATTCCTAGAGTGACTTAGTTCTACATTTCATTCAACTGCAACAGGCACGGCAAATGAGATTCCCTGCGTGGACCCGGGCCCTGTGCTCATCTCTTCTCGTATAACCAGGTAACATGCAGCTAGATTCATTGCATCATAATATTTCATTCAAAAAAGCCACAGAGAATTAAGTTTCCTTTTCATTCGGTAAAAAAAGAAGTAGATTTTAATAAAACGCAAGGTAGCACTACTAAAACAAGGAAAACTAGGGAAAAAAGGGTGATCCTTCTGCTACACTGTAATCATCTGTTAACTCCCTCACTAATTTTTCAATGACAAATCATGCTTCAGTATCTGCTGTAGAAATAATTTTCATTACAATTTTCACTACAAACCAAGTAAGTACCAGGAGAACACCGCCATGAAACATCAATTCCAAGGGCAAAATCACACATACTCTCCTGAAGCCAAGCTCCCACTGATGTGTAAAGGCAAATGAAAAACCATGCTGGAATCCACGTATCATTTCTCCAGCTTCAGTTTGAGGAAAAACATTAACTGTTTTCCTCCCCGCCTCAGAAATGCGGCATCAAAAATGCTGGCAACGGCATTTCAGTCTTTTTCATGTCTTTCGGCCATAAAATGCAAATTCCGTTACAGGAAAAGGCTGGAGAAGCAGTGCTAAGTCTTGGATATCCTGGGAAAAGGATTACCCAAAGAGATGCTCTAAATTGGGCGTCATTAAACAAAATACTTTAGAGGGACAAAACCAAATCCCTGTGCACTCCTGTTAGAAAAAGGGGGAGTTTTAGTGCCCTAACAGCACTACTGAAAATAGCAGTGAGCTCTAGTAGGAAGGAAGAAAAGAAATCTCAGCTTTGGAAATCTTGCTGTTGCCTGCATCCCAAAAATGTTCCCTTTGCCTCCAAATCCCTGGTGTACATGATTTGGGGTTTTCCTCTCCTGTTCTTATCCTGGTTTCAACAAAGGACATTCTCAGCTGCTGTTCTCACTTCTGAGCAGAACTTCTCACTCCGGATTTCTTAAGACAGGTACACAGATTAACCTGTTGCTCCCCCTGAAATAAGTAATTTCTCTTCATACTTGTACTTCTCTCTCACACGTGGTAAAGAAGAGGATGACTGAATTCGCAGGATCCTCAGGATAAAAGCGCTGTTGCTTCTACGGAGCCTCACTGATCCACAACATTGCGGATGCTGTTCTGTGCCAAATGACGCCTTTTTGAAGGAAACACCAAATCAGTGAGATTTCAAACACAAAATGCTACCTGTACCCTCAGTGCCTCTGTGCAGGATTCCCCATTTCCTATTTCACTGGGAGAACAACTGTTTGACGCAAGAGCAGTAAACCAGAAAAGTGGGAAGAGCCTCTTGCAATAACACGTCCAATTGACTCCTGATTCGCCTCTACAATTTTGTTTTGTGAAATCCTACGATACGGAGGTATTTGCTTCGATGACATCTGCCCTACAGCATTGATGGGTTTAATTCAGTGGAAAACATCACATTGTATCTTCTACTGCGTGAGCAAGAGGTCCACACGTCACAAAAATCTCGCTTTTTAACCAAAACACATTTTCACAGTAGAGTGTCGTTGCTAGCAGAGAAACAAATCACCAGGGCTACATTTATATCAAGTAATAGCCTCAAATTCGCAACTTCACATATTTCCTCCTGCATTGGAACCAAACTTCAGATTACCACAGAACTGGGCACATCTTAGCCAACAGGTTGGGGACCTATAATGCAATACTAACAGAAGCTAAACTGTAAATACGAACTATAAATACTAACAGAAGCTAAAAGTTTCCAGTATTTTCCTTTTTCTAGTACGAAATGGCTGAACACCTGTTTAATGTGTCCACAGGCAATAATGAGGAACCAATGACGCTGCTTTCGGTTAACATTTAATTTCCTGCTACAGCAGCACATTGCTGTTAGCAATGACCTTCTAGTTGCAGAGGATGCGGTATTTATTAATTAACAAAACAAGACAGAGATCCCAAGTCCCTTTGAACTTTTAATTTTTTAAAAAATTAGAACGTACTCATAAAGAGGACAGGTTTGCTAAAATCCCCACTCCTTATATTCATCTGGGGTTCACTTCACGTCTGGTCTTCCCGACTCCATAGCGCTACTAATTATTATCTGTTAATTAAGAAATTAAAGTGCTGCCATTACTTGTTTGGAAGAAATGGAAACTTCCGGATCAATTACTTGCACTGGAGGTCAATCAAGAGGTGGTCTGGGTGGCGCTGTCAGGACAAGAGAAATAATAGCTTGGGAAAGGAGGACACGGCTGATTTGATTTCCCCAAGCAAGTGACTTATTGCCAGAGCCGTGTCTGTTTCGCCAGCACTAAGCAGAATGAGATCGAAGTCAGCATTAAAAAGCTTAATAATAAACTATGTGAACAGCCGTAGCGTGATCTGGGCAACGATGCAGAAAGCCTCACGTTCCATGTGCCGACCAACCCTTTCTTCATCGCCTCGCCAAGCCCAGCACGCCCCAGGTCCTTGCTCTTTGTTGGAAGAGAGGCGGTGGATGTGCCTTGTCCTCACCCTGCTGACAGCTGCCCCATGTGTCAGCTTTGGCTCTTGTGCCGCCCCGTCTGCCGTCAGCGCTTTGGAGAACCAGCCAAATCTGTCCAACTGCCAGCCACCCCGCAGGGAGATACAGCGAGAAGAGCAGCAGCAGCAGCGCCCGTCCCTGGCGGCAAAAGATCAAGTGGGCTCAGAGGCAGACTAGCCATCCGCAAGGAAACCTCTGCCCATTACAGGCCCTTGATTCTTTCGGATTTTTGTCTCTTCCCATTTTGCATTCTCACGGGACAAGCGAACGATGCAAAATGCTGTATTTAGGCGGCACTGCTGCTCTCAGCTCTCTCAAAGACATATTTAATATCCATCACAAGGACAAACAAGGATCCAAGCAAAGAACCCACACTGCTAACGCAGTTCCCCTCTGCAACCTCAGAGCAAAGCTCCAGGCTAGGAGCGCTGGGACAAGCCGTAGCACCAGCTGAAGGGCGGTGGAGGCAGTCAGGCTCGTGTCTAGAGACGTCCTGGAGAGAGACCTGTGGGATTGCAGGGTATCGCTGTCCCCAGAAGTGCAAGGAGCACTAGGCATGGGTCACCCGGCCCTTACCAACTACGCTTAACAGCCTGCAAGTCCCTTGGGCATCTGTCTGAGCTGCCAGAGCAGATCACACAGAGCTGCTGGTGAGTGCGTGGAGGAGAAACTTTATACGTTCAAGACTAAGTGAGATGACAGCTAAAGGACATCAGAAAGATACCTTCTGCCACCAGTGAACTCCTCTGCTGGGAACCACAAGTCAAGGCCAAGCATCCCAGCAGAGCTGTTATCTATCTCAGTCATTAGGAAGGAACTATATTTTATCACTTGTTATAAAGCAACTGCTCCACATTGTATTTTACGGTTCTCAGAGCTCTTAGCTTCCCTTCGCTGCTTTATATGTACAGCACAACAGCATTTAGAAACACCAGTATAATTTACAATCCAAACAAAGAAGGTGGTGGTGGTGGGAGAGACTAATTAACTTGCCTCAGATTATGGAACAATGTAGAGGGAGAGACAGTGAATAAAATGCAAATCTGACTCTCACCTACTTGACTGCTGCCTCCTGCAGCAGTCGCTTTAAGACACGGATGATAATCAATCAAAGCCTCCCTTAATATGAACAGGACTCCAAGCAGAGACCCTAAAGTGCTGGTGTCCTTCTGACAGAGCAGAGAGCTGCCAGGCCAACAGCTCAAGGCAGACTTACGCTTTCATCTCCCTGTCTGTCTACCACGGCTCTGCCTTTTTGATCATGCCATCTGGCTCCCCCTCCTATTTTTTCCATTTATTTCTGATCTGTAACAAAGCTGCCTGCGCAGGCAGCTTTATTCTGCAAAACTGTTCAGTTGTGACCTTCTTCTAAATATACAGAAATGAAGATTGTAAAACAGCTAGAAAACAACGTTAGAACCATCCGCACTATAATTATGCAAGCAAAGATCAATACTAATCCACTCTAAAGCCACTAATTCCAAATCCTTCAAAAATAGCAGTACCCACATCCAGTTTATCATTTTGCAAGCAGCACCACTACTCTGTGCTGACACTTACCCTAAAGATATACTATGTCAACTGAAAACTAAAGTTATATGAAATCTGCCAGTTTCAGCTTGCATCACTATCTAGAAATGAAACATCAAGTGCAGTTTGCAGAGTGTGACAATCCCTGAAAACCCTTAGGAATCAAAACTAGTCCTGCTCCAAAACGTTGGAGTCTCAGAGGTGAACCACAATGTTACGGGCTTGTTCTCATTTAATGTCTGATGTTGGAGAAAACTGCCTTTGCTGCACCCGAAAGACTTTCAAGAGCTTTTTACAATGGCGCACATCAAAGAATTTACCAAGAATGGAGTAGTGCTATTCCTGTGGAGAGAGAAACTAGGCTACTCAGCTCATCTTGATAAGTTTGCAAGGAGAAGATAACACGGGTTATTCAGATGTCACCTAAAGATATCAGCGGATATGAGCCAATTTTTACTGCAAGCTTTCTTCATTGTTGTGAAATCCATTTCCCATCTCCTGAGGTAAAACTGGAGCTGCTCAAGGTGGCCTCAGGAAGGGTGAGCACAGTTCAGTTTTCAGAAGGCAACGCAAATGCCACCTGCACTTCTAGGTCAAGTCTGAATTCTCTCATGTCCCACACGAATGGTGCACAGGATCAAAGCGCATTCAGACAGACTGGAGGAAACTTAACCAAGAACCCTGGTGATACCAGCTACAATTTCCATGCACAGAATTTTTCCTTCAACCACGACTGACATTTTCAACAGCTTCTGAGAGGATAATCTCAAGCAAACCTCTCCTCATTGTCACTGTCACCTGCAGCCCAGATCCTTTCAGTTGGAGACAATCTGTTAAGACAGTAAAATTGCACCGCTCTCTAACGTGATTAGGGAGTGCCTGTCTGACAAATAATGAAGACACCCTAAAGTATTTTGCCACCCTCACTTTGTCAAACAGGAGTGCTGCAAAAAAGTCCTCTATGTAATTTCACACAACACTGCTACTGGTAGACTTGAGTACCGACTGTTTTCTCCTCAGAGCAGCATCTGATTTATTTCCTAAAGAAGAGTTAACATCATTAAATATGTTATCAGCTCTAAGTAAGCATCCAAGGGTTTTGGTGCTTTGGTTCAAGCCTTATTTTTTGTGTCTTGTCCTTCTGTGAGCCAAAGTGAACAGCGGAAGGTACAAAAGTTGAGGTATATGCATGGGAAGTACTTCCACACGGACAAAAAAATATTTCTGTAGCCTGCATATCTCAGATCAGCATTCAAACTGAAATTTATTTCAACTTAAAAAACAGCAGCTGTATTGGGAATAAATGCTTTACCTGTATTCATCCTGTGTAAACCGTGGAATTACTGAAGGCTGCAGTACAGCAATTTCGACAGTAGTGGTGTTGAACTTCACAGGATCCCCATCATCATACGCAATGACCACTAGCTATAAACAATACAGAAGATCACTCTCAGTATAGGAAAGAGTATTTTTTTTATGTTTACTTGCAACAACACTTCCTGTATCTTCCGGGTCTAACAAGTCAGACGTGATTTTCTTTCACTGCAAATCATACATTATGTAAGAAGAAAACACAGAGGAAAAAGGTGACAGCCAGCCTGTTGAACCAACTGCTATAAAATATCCAGGAACACAGTAAATACAAGAGTATTCTATAAATACATCACCAAAACACATTGCCAGTTTCAAGTACAATTTCCAGAGGACTCCCTTCGCATCTAATCACAGACTGACCTTACTCAGAACTCCGAAACAAATTTCAACTTCTTTAACAGTTCCATTCTACATTTATGCAGTTTAGAAAGGAGATCTTTGGTATGCTAAGAGGATTTTTTTGAAGCAGAGTTTTTAGTTTGATATCAGTCCTCAGTTTTAAACACTTACGTCAGCAACATGGAATTCTACCTAGCACCTTTTTTGTTTTATTGGGAGTTACAAGTGGTTTTTCAATAAAAGTCATTACACTGCATAAATGTACAAAAACAACTGAAAGAAGAAACAAAGCACACCTTAATGACCATAGAGAAGGTGAGCACTTTGAAAGAAGGTAAATTACACATAAACCTCCACCAATTACAGAAACTTTTTTTCACTTATTGACAAACTTGAATTTTTATTCAAGCACAATAGCAATTTAAGTCTCCTAAAAACCACTGTTTTACATTACAGTGGTCGTGAATAGGATATCTCAAACTCTCCAACTGCACAGTTATTTCCTTTACGGAATACCTTGCTATTCTTACAAAGTTCTCACAAAATTGCTACGCTGACAGCCTCATTGGAAAATAAGAGATTGGCAAGATAACTTTCAAAAAACAAGGTTTCCTTCTTCTGCCCTCCTAACAGTAGCAACCGACACATGCCAGGAAGAAATTAAGGAAGAAACAAACCAAACAAAAATTTCACATCTTTCTACTCAACATAAAGCAATATAGAGAAACATGAGGGTAAAAGGAATTCCAAATGCAGGCAACATATATGACAGCTTACAGTTATATGAGCTCATACCTTAAACACCGTACTTGGCTCCTCGTTTAGGTTTACTCGGGTTACTACACGTCCTGTGCTTTCCTCCACATCAAAAATGCTGGCACTGTAAGGAAACTGGACAACATCTACTTTGTATCGGACTCGACTTGCTGGTGTGCCCTGTAAGGCAAAAAGAAAAAGCAACTTGTATGTTTCTGTATTTTTACACATCTCATGAACTTAGTAAAGGATTAAAATGCAACGTTGGTAAACGAACCATCACAGACAAAACTTGCTGGTTGTCTTCCTCATAACTGATTTTTTTTTGGCCGAGCATTCCACATGCATTTCCCTAAAATATCTCTCATTGACATCTGAGAGGTCCAGTAAGAAAAATGAAAAGTTCATCACTTAATCAGCTTGTCCTTAAAGCTTTGGTGTCTTGTTGCTGAAGACGGGAAGATGTGTGCTATATTGTTTTCTGAAAAGTCAGGCTACAGCTCTGCATATAAGACAGACCAGCCTGTGACATTCACACACTTCTCTTTTAGAGGAAACAAAACGAAAACAGCCCATGGTTGCCTGGGCAAAACCACCAAGCAGCCTAAATGAGAGGCTGAGCATTACCAGTGTCACTTAGATATCAGAGCCGGCTCTAAGCACAATGTCAGAAAACGAGAAGGAGAACACATCCATCTTATCAGCGGTAACGGAAAACGCAGTTCTGCAAACGGATTTTAAGTAGCCTTGTAATGAATCTGCCCACTTGTAATGAATCAAACCCTGTTTCGATGACAAGGAACAAGCACAGACAGTCCATGCATGTGTCACGAATTGCCTGCATGCGTGTGAGCCCAGAAATACCAAATTAAAAGGGGAATCAGAAGAGGCATTGCCAGAGGGTATAACAGATGCATTTTTCAGAGCGGTGACTCAGCATTTTCTAATAGAAGGCTATTTACCTGATTTAACTGGTTTAACACTAACCGCCTAGATAAAAAACATTATTTGTAAAGAATGAAGTTTCTTAAAGTATCCGTTGTATTTTGATGATTTCATTCTAGCAGCCACTCTCCAGGGACCTTCGGAAGACGTGGAGTAACAGCGTGCCTGTAACTAAGTTTGCAGACGACACCAAATTGAGCAGGAGGGTAAGGAGGCTCTGCAGAGGGATCTGGACAGGCTGGGTCGCTGGGCCAAGGCCAACTCCATGAAATTCAAAAGGGCCAAATGTCAGGTCCTGCACTTGGGCTACACCAACCCCCGGCAGCGCTACAGGCTTGGTGTCATCTGCAAACTTACTGAGGGTGCACTCTGTTCCCTGGTCCAAATCACTGAAGGTGTTAAACAGGAGTGGCCCCAGCACTGAGCCCTGGGGGACGCCACTCATGGCAGGCCACCACCTGGGTTTAACTCCATTCACCACATTCACCAACCAGATTTTCACCCAGCAAAGCGTGTGCCCGTCCAAGCCAAGAGTAGTCATTCTCCAGGAGAATGCTGTGGGCAACAGTGTCCAATGCCTCACTAAAGTCAAGATAACTGACACCCACAGCCTTTCCTTCATCCAGCAAGTGGGTCACTCAGTCACAGAAGGACTGTAAAACCCCGTCCATGCAACACCTTGCACATAAAGAGAAGTGAGAGAGGGCTGCAGGCAACAGAGCCATTCCCAGAGTTTCTGGGGAGGCTTGCGCTGCTGCTCGCCGCACTGGTTTTACCCGCAGCAGCCTCCTTGAGCCGTTGCCTCCAAGGAAATCCAGCCCAGGAGGGGTTTACGAGGCTGCTATGCTGCGCCGGTGCTGCTGGCAAGTCAGCATCAGCACCTTAAATCGTTCCAAACTGGGTCTGCCAGATGTGTTTCGGTGTTCAGTCAAGTATTATATGAAAGACCACGTGAACAGTTAAAAGTACTTTACGGGACCATGCACGCTAGCAGTGCAGATCCTTGCAAAACCAAGAAATTTCAGAGATCATAGCACAACAGAGGTGATTATTCAACTTTCCCCCTGGTGTTCTCTTAATCACTCATTTTTCTTCAACACTATAATTAAGAGGAAATTACCTCCTGAAAACCACTCTGTTTGGTTTCAGAATAACGGTCCTCTCATTTGCTCGGAAGACTAAAAGGTACCATCACCATTAAACCTGCGCACGCTAGGTAATTTGTTATTAAATAAACAAAAATCTCATCAAGTTATTGTTCCTGATATGACTATCAAGTACACTTTTCTCCTATCATTTCAGAAAATAACAAAAGAGGGATTTATTTTTTACTTGCTATATTTTGGCACCAATGTAATTAGAAAAATCGCCAGAGAGATATCCCAGGGAAATCTATTTAGAAGTGAGTTTTAATTATCTCAAATATTAATCATCTTTTTTTCTCTGGTCTGATTTAATTTAGATGCATTCCTATGTCTACCTTGAATATAGTAGAAAATATTCTCAAATAAACCACAGTATACTTGGCAAGAACCATGTTCATCCTCTCAAAGCAAAGTTTTCCTGACAGTTCAAGACTATTATGAATCTTAGATCTAAAGCTCATCCAGCCTCAATTTTTTTTCATTATTTTTTTTCCTGCATAATTCCTTAAGTTGCCATTTGCTCTGGGGAAATGACATTCATTTGTGACACAGCTGGCAGGTACAAATATGTCCCCACCGCTTATGTGAAACGCACGGGCTGCACATGGAGGCCATGGAAGGCACACGTGTGCGCTGTCGAGATAAGTCTCAACGGGCATTGAGAGGTTGCAGAGAAATTGTTAGGCAATAAAGCCAGGAAAAATGGTGAGAAGTGTAACACAACAGAAACTTCTGGATGTTTTCAGGTGGATTGCTGCCAACAATTCAGAGGGAAGCTAGGAATCACGACTGCCACTATCCAAATGGGCAACGGACATACAAAATCGGAACGATTTGGCCCAAGAAGAAGCAGGAAAAACTGCATTTCACTTCCATTTGCAGTCTACTTGTGAAGATCTCAGATGTGCATCTGGTAAATGACCTGGATTTTACCCCTAAGTACTAATCCGGAATATTGGCATAACAAATACAGACTCTTTGTTCCCAAAGTCACTTTCCGACTGAAGTCAGAAAACTTCTGAGGGTATTACAGATAGAAAGTGAAACTGGTAAGAATTTTAATAAATTAAATTTAAATTTAGAGTCCACTAAGGCAAGCCTTGTAAAGTTAGTTCTATGAAAGAAATTGGAAAGTGATGCTAAAAACAAAATTTAAAGGTGGCTGCACATGTTCTTCGTAGCATGCTCAAAGTAAAGGAACCATTAAAGATGAGGCAGACCACAGAGTAGGCAAAAGATTTTGTTGAGTCTTGCACCAGGGTTTTATTCTTTAGTGTGTAACTCAACAAGACGGCCTGAATTTCTGAATTACTAAATGCGGAAATTCTGAATAAATAAATATAACAAGCGAAACACAAAAAGAACATGAACTTTTAAAGCCATGAGATAAATTACTTTAAGAAATCATTGAATTTGCAGCATGTTTCTCATACACAAATCTCCAGCAGACACTACAAAATCCAACAGTAATAGGTTTTAAAGGATCAAGCCCTAAACTGCCCGAAAAGGCTTTTATGTCCAATTAAATATCTGTGAAATCCCTAATTAAATATGTTAGCATCTTACTTTTAGTGGGTGCCTGTAAAACAATAAGGACAATTACTTCCAATTTAACAGAAGGGCTCCATCAAACAAAAACCTTACAAGGTGTTACCAGACTGGATACACCATTAAATTGGATGTTCTGGAGCTCTGGAAGCTGGATGCTCACTAAAATTAGTGTTCTGCACGTGTTTCCACCGAGATTTCCAAACCACAGTATCAGACTATGTAGGGGAATCACCCATGGAAGAAATATTCCAGCTGTTACAGCGATAAACCATACAGAAAAAAGCATTAACAGGAAAATCAAACACCTCATTCTATCAGTCCTAAGAATCCTAAGCAATCTAAGTATCTATCAAATAGCTCCTTTCAAAATATTTGGAGGGTTAAGAGCTTTGAGAACGTCGTCGTAATCATCTGGCATCTCTCATCACGACACCACTTCAGTGAAGCTTAAACTGTTCACCATGAAAACCCCTTTTGACAAGCAACTAAGCTGGTTAGGTCTGAAAAGCATTTATGATGATGAAAAAATGTCTACCTGGAATCTTATTCTGGGCTGAGTTCAATGTTGACGGGGATTACTTGTAAAACGACAACAGAAAAAGTCAGGCTTGGACACTTCAGATTAGTTAGGCTCTTATTAGACTTGCCCTGATAATCAGACATATTTTAAAGCTACAATTACTTTCTTAATAGATGTGTATTTCTTCTCCTGAACTGGTAAGATAGATATTAGTGCTGTGCAAGTCGGATTCCATCAGGTTAAAAAAATCCAAAACACACAACAAAAAAACTGTATTCATTATATGCCTAAGGGCAGCTTCATTTGTAAGTCTTCATAAAAATCAAAGAAATGTAACAGTTGATTTTGAAGAATGTTATCTTAATGATAATAACTAAGGATATTCTTTCCCTTACGGTAAGTTTAGAGTAACCTGCTCTTCCTGAACACAGCAAAGGTTGTGTGTTTTTAAAAATAATTTCCGATGAATTCATATAAAATACTTTGTAACACCACTTCATGTCAAAGCCAGCTCCAGATAAATACAGATTTCCCAGCAGCACAAAACACCTAAACAGGTTGTCTCAGTCAGAAAAAGAAACCAAGTCATTTATGCCTGATAATTTTCTCTATCTTCTTATTTTAAAAGTGCAAACTATCAGCCATTAGCTTGAAATAAAATACCAACTTCCAAAAACTGTTTTAAAAGCTTTCCTCCATAGTCGGCTGACTTTTATGGCTATTATATTCGTTAAATGCCTAAGGGCAGCTTCATTTTTAAGTCTTCATAAAAATCCAAGGAATGCTAGAGTTGATTTTGTAGAACGTTATCTTAACACTACTGCCATATGCATTTATGCCTGTTATAACGGCACTAAACAGGATCCCACACTCAGTGACTTTGATCTCTCACATGCATGCGCATCCGTTTCTCCACAGAAGTCGAAGCAATTGCCACATCTTTCAAATATAAAAATCCCTCAAAATCATACAAAAGAAATCCATACAAATACGTGAGGAAATGATAAGAAAGGAGCCTGGGAGAAATAAGCGCTTTAGACAGTTTTTGATTCTGCCGTTCTCATGCCACTTAGAGATGGCTGGCATTACCCCCTTATCTGTGTCTTATCTGTGACCAGTTTCTACATTTATCTGTTACAGTGACAGCAACACAAACGTCAGGAAAGGAGAGAGTTCAGAAGGGTCTGGACTTTTTTTAAATGAAAAGGTGAAATAATTCTGCATCAGGAAATGCTGATTCCACAGGACTATGAATTGTTACAAATATACATTAATCCGTTTCTAAGCTATTTTGTTTCCTCCAGTATCTCAGTGATATCTTATCCTATAAAAGGTACACACATTAAATGCAGGGATTATAAAATGAAGATTATACACCAGAATGCTCAATTACTTCATCGATGCCAAAGTACCTTGTTGTAAGGCAATAGGTACTATTAAATAAAAGCTACACGAAAACCAAGTTAAAAGTGATTCTCTAGCACTAATGAACAATTATCTTCTTTTCTATCCTCACTAAGCCATTCACGTCAAAATTTCTATGGAATAGAAATTAATCTTCTTGCCTGGTTTCACTGATCCTTAACATCCTTTTCTGAAGACTTTTCTCTAAGGTCAGTGTGATAAACCTGTAAAGAGGAAACACATAGCGGTGCAAGGGGCAGAGACAGGTCCGTAGGACTATGACTAACAAACTTTAACACTTTAGATTTCTGCTGTGGCCATCAAAAAATTGCACAGTTTCAACAGTCACGCACAGCCAGTTTTCCCCACTCTCCACTGGCAGATCACTCTGAAGCGACTGCATTTGTGATATGGGTCAAGTGTTTTCTTTTCCTGCTCTATTCAGGAAGAAACGCTAGTAAAATGAGCTAATCCTTTGTGCGAAATACTGCGTAAACATAACCCGCGCAGGCTTCTAATGTCACCTGGAAACTTTGCCCTCGAGGTCATCAGGAACTCTGGCCAGCCTCCTTGCTGGTAGTTAAAATTATTCTACAGAGAAATAGAGATTTTAAGGGTTTTAATCCTACAGGCAGTTGAGAGAAGGCAACCTAGGCTTCTGACACCCCATGGAAAGGCTTTTCCTTGCAAGGTTAATGTAAGAAGATGCAAAGGGAGGAGAGCAGGCACTACCACTACGTCGTCTTTCTCCCGCTGCATGCTAAAAGCAGACGTGTCTTTGAAGAAGAGTGTAGGGGCCTGCCAGGAAGACATCGGTCCTAGGCTATGCATTAAAAAAAAAAGTCTCTAAAGCAAGACACTAGACATTCCCACTCACCTCTGTAGATCAGTCTAACGCACACATGTGCTGACTATTCTGCTTTTAATTAAACAGATCTGCAATTAACATGTTGGCTGGTGGGGACCCCATTCTACTGTGGCTGTGCTCTATGAAAGGAGCCTGACACACACCTCAGGCTCCATCCTGCAAGCAGAGCACTCAGAATCAGACACCAACACCTCTTATAATCCCCTTCAAATTCTCCAAGACTTGCCAGTAATGAACACCTCTCTCCATTTCTTTTGTTTATGGCTCAGATAATGTCTGCGTCCTCTGCTGCTCCATTCCTTAAATACTCTGTAGCACTATTAATTGATAATTCCTGCTATTCATTACCTATGTGATGATACTACGGCCTGTCATATACTTCTAACAAACAATAGCCCAGATCTTCAGCTGTTATAAACTGCCTTAAATGCCTCCAAGTTCAGTAATATGTATTACCTGCAGGGGATGTACTTGCCCTTATGTGTTAGAACGTTTTTCAGCAGAAAACACTGCTTTAGCATTTCTGTCCTTGCATGGTAAATAAATTTCTATGTAGTATACTTAGCTAAGCTAGAGCTGATTTGTGTCAAAGCCATCAGCTTTTAATGTGCATGACACATTCTGTCTGAATGCTTCTCCCCGAGGATTATTCTCCTTAATATGCCAAACACTAAGAATTTAAAATTAAACCTGGCTGGCAGAACATCTTTGGCTTTTATTGTCCTCAGTGTATCATCTGGTCACCAATGTTCATCAACCTTTGATTACAAAAACTGGTATTACCCTTCAGAATAGCTAACAAGTCAAAAATACGTGCCCAGTTCTGTCAATCAAGTGCATCACCAGGGAAAAAAAGCCAGTGGCAGAAATAAACTTTAACTCCAGTACTGGTGCGCTGGGTTCAAATATTGCACATCCAGTCGGGCTGGCCGGTGAGCTGCACAGTCCCATGTGACACTGCGATGCCTCAGACCGGAAATGCACAACAACTGCAAAGTCAAGAAAGCAACCACCTTACCAAGTTGTGCTTTGTTTCCTCTTTAAGCTGCAGAACTGTGCGAAGACAGGAATGGCTTCCCTTCCTGCCTATTCCTCCTCTTCATCTACACTGTGATGTTGGATAAAGAGCTTCCTAAAAATCTTCCTGACGGAAAGGAGCTGTTTCGTTGATTTGCCAGCTTTAGGAACAATCATTATAAATGCAGTCTCTGTCCAGAACAAGAAAGGACAGGCTGACATAAAAAAATGTGTGAGTTACTGCTCTGGGAAACTCATAATAATCACCTTTGTTGCTGAGAGAGGTGGGTCACTTAGGAGGTTTAAAGATTTTCCCCTCTTGGGTGCAGAGTATTAATAGAACCTTTTTGCTTACCGGAGGATCTTGGTCCTCAGCTGAAACAGTAGTGATAACAGTGCCCTTGACCGCATCAGGAGCTACCATTCCCCTGTAGAGCTTTTTGCTAAATACTGGAGAGTAATCATTCATATCCTGCAAAACATAATTAAGAGTTTAGTTCTGAAGTTCAAACGAAATTACAGATGCACTCAAACCCATTTTTTTCCAACTCTACCCACTCACTCCTTCATTAGGAAGCCTACTTGCCATTCATAGTCTCTCTTGTCTCTCGATTCCATTACCACCACACAAAGCTGGCACACAAGGGGAAGATGACAAAGTTTCAAAAAGAAAAAAATTCATGTGAAGACAGATCAACAGAAAAAAATTCTGCAGAAAAACAGAGTTTCGTAAGTAAACAGAGCTGAGATTTTCTGCTTGTCAAGCACTGGGCCACAATGTGGCTGTTCTAATTTTCTAATATGAACGAGCTGCTGTTGCTTGCCAGCGTTTGTAAATGCAATAAATGAACAGGAAATCCAACACCAGATTAGAATCAACACCTCATGAGAGATCAAGATGGTGATCTTCAGACTGATGCGTACATTTTCAAAAGGAAGCCTCAAATTTGGCTTAAGCCCAATTTCATTGATGCAGTAGCATGTGCATACACATACATGTAATGTCACAGCTCTGTGAGTGTGCACAGCTACACATGCACGTACACAGTCGTGGGCACCTCCTTGTGCCAAAGGTGTAACCTCACGCAGACCCCGGGCTGCGTGCCACTGTGCGAGCCGGCACCGGGGTCGATGCAGGACTTGGATGCGCGCGGCTCTCTCAGTGACGTGGTGCCCTAAGCATCAAGAGTCACGAACACTTAGAAACTCAGCCAGGTTATTAAAAAGGGCATTCATTAGAAAGTTGTCAGAAAATAATTTTGTGTCAAAATTCTCTCATAGTTGCAGAAAATTCACCTCTGTGTTCCTTTAAAAAAATTAAACGTACATACCTAAATCACAGTCTTTATTCTATCAGTAAAACCGATCTCCTTTATTTTGTCTGTAGGGCCACTTCCCTAGCTTGAATTCTCTTGAGACCAGTTTTATTTATTTTTGCATGCTACCATTTCCATTGTTTTGTGCATATGGATAACACAGATGAAATTTTCTGGGTTTTCTGGTTTTTTTTGTTGTTGTTGTTTGTGTGTTTTGGTTGTTTTTTTAACCAGAACAATTAAGCAGCATCACATGCCTTCAGCACACAAGAGTGACCACTGTCCACAAATGAAAAGCAGACATTTTCCCTCCTGAAACAGAATGCGTGTCTGAGCTCTGCTGGAATACAGGTGCCAGCCCTCTCTTAGGTAACCCACACATACACAGCTACTCCAAGTGTACACGGCGACGCTTCTACCTGTTGTTCACAGCTCCTCACGCTGCAAATGCAATATGCCGATACTGGCTATAATACATAATTGTTAAAAATATTCATCTGTACCTCATCAGAGGAAATAACAGTATAGTAAACATCTATATAAAACAAACAAACAACAACAACCCTCCCCCCCAAACACTGTAACAAAGTCCAATTCAGATCAATGTTTTTGCATGGAATTACAGGCATTGAATCTTGTAATTTCAATTTCTTGACCTGCTTGCAAGAAAGTAATTTACTTCATCTGAGAGGGACTATTTTTCACAAACAATCTTGTTTCTCACGACTCTTCGAAGTGACAAGCACCATCCCTTGCTCCATTTTGCTTCCAGAAACCCCACTCCTGTGCAGTGTGTCACTGTGGCAAAGAAACCAACTCCATACAGCAACCTCACACCGTAAGACTCCATTCACAGACATTCTGCTTCAAAGAAAAGACAGGGAATTACTTTATTTGAAGCACACACAAAGTAGCTATGAATACAGAGATCCTAGACACGTAGCATTAAAAATTATTTCCAGTACGACAGTAGAAATGTGACACAACGCTACGTGCACAGGTCTTACAACTGTGTAAATCAGTGCATTTGGAACTGCGTTTTGGTTGTTTTTTTTCCATAAACGCTGGCATTTTTCCAGTGGGATACACAACCTTTTAAAAATTGCACGCACATAGAGACACCTTCTGTCCTTCCACATGCAGTCTCCAACTGGGATAATGACCCAGTGTTATGCCTATGATAACTCCTTCCACCTCTCCCCTCTCTCCCTGCCGGCTTTTGTTTCCCACGACCCGGGTGCTTAGGATCACCTCCAGGAAGCGGGTAAAGTTTTTGAAATAATCCAGCCTTTAATCTGCATTTATTCGGAAACCATCTCTCTCTGCGCACCTGCAGATCCACAGTCCTATCTGGCTCTTTTTCCTTTGGTGTAGCAGCAAAAGACCACGCTCCACTGTTTCTTCGCTGTGGGGTGGGAGGCTTACCATGTGACCTTTCTATTCTCTTTCAATTACCTCTATGTGACCTTAGCACCTGAAAATCTGTGACTTAAGGTACTGGAAAGCATAACCCTGTTTAAAGATAATACGCTACATCCTCTGCTATAGGAAATGACCGTCATCCTACTTAATGCACCTATTTTTCAAGACACATGGATCAGTAGAAAAGAGCCAGAATTACAAAGCAAAGTATAAAGGAGGATGCAAAAAGCCTTCTGCCTCTCTAACTTACCTTTCCTCTAAGACAAGCTTTATGAACGATTGTGCCTCATAAACCCCAGCTGAGCCAGCCAACTAAACGGGCACCAAATGTCTCAGTCATAACTAGACAGAACAGCTCCACGTGCGTTTCTTCCCGGCTCATCTCTTCCTGAAGCCTAAAGCAGCCACTAATTATTTATAGGAGGGCCCAAGCTTCAATTTTTCCGCTCTTAACAAAATAGAAGTTCCCCACGAGAATAAGTACGGGTCTTCTCACTACACAGCTGAAGCAAACGCACTTCGGAGAGCAAGACCATCATTACAGACAGGCGACCAAGATGCGAGGACTCATCGCAAATGTCTACAACGAAAAACTGCCAGAAACTGAACGGGGATTTTTGCAGGCAGCAGGTTTAACAAGAAAAACATGCAGATGACAAGGAGACAAGGTGGTTGAGGTTTTTTTGGTTGTAATGCTATGTTTTAGCAAAAGTCTTGGTTCAGAGGTGGTAGGAAGAAATCGCTCTTCTGGGCCATTCTCAATAGAGTAAGTAGAGATTTTGTAAGAGACGTGTTGGAGAAATTCACATATTATTGAATCCTTTCTTTACTTATATAGGCACTTAAAGATACCAAAAAGGTCACAAAAATAAATTATTGATTTTTTTTTCTGGCAAAAAAAGCACCACCACCAAGGATAGAATACAGTCCAGATCTGATTTTGTTAGAACACGGAAAGAAAGCACACGCTGTATTTTCTGTGAATAGCTCAAGAGGACATGGACATGATCCACCTCATCGCACTCCCAAAATCCAGGTCCCTGTAATCAAAGCCCCCAAATCAATTTTCGTCATTGCAGACTTAACAGTGAAGGTTCAGCATTCCCCGATGGGTATAAAGTTTCAGGTTTTCATCCCAGAGGGACTCTGGGCAAAAAAAGATAATGTTTTGAGAAAACACTGGGCTTCTGTCATTACTGGAGACATGTAGAGATATTTTTGCACAGCTAAATAATTGAAGATTACTCCACACCTGATGGCTTCTGCTTAAGACATCACTAAACCTGACTGCATAGAAATGGATGCAGCATGTGAGTGCAATCCCTAATCACAGGTTAGGAATAACAGGGCAGTAACCTCCCGCAAAGTGGTAGTACGGAATAGTGTAATCACCTTGTAAATCTGGGCCATAATCCTACACGTGCTCCTGCGGCCAAACTGCAGAATCTTACAACTGTTCACAGTTCATTGCTTCAGTCACATAAATCCAGGCCGCTATTAGCTATCAGACACACACAAAACCATGTAAATAAAAAATATAGGTAATGAATTTCTATATATCTTATTTTAAAACACTTGGGCTCTGTATTTTGACAGTAAGGTAGTAGCAGCCACATATGTATATATATAAATACAAAAGACCCTTTGTGTCCACGCTCATCTAGCTGGAGATTTATTATATTCTTATACATCTTTGTTTACAGAACAGAGTGAGAGTCAAATCCTAAAATCGTCAAAGCTTTCTTCCTGTTGCAGATGCTCTTTATCCACCACTTTTTGTTCGGTTCTGTTTCATATTGATCACGCTGGGCAGCATGGAAAAGCAGAACAAGACACATCCTTACATCCTTCCCTTGGCACAAAGATTAAGAATCAAGCATGAAGAAAGCACAAGATGAGAGAGATGCTCAAATACTAGAGTTCTTAAGAATCTATATTAGTAGGTTCTTACATTAGAATCTACTTTCAGAAGCAAACGAAGATCTATTAAAAGATTTCTTGATGCCAACTCATTTTTTAACTGGGACGTCACCCTTGGGATGTGAATGATCCCATTCCTGATCAACTTCCTTACCCTCTGAACACGACGCATTTTGGGTTGTTATTTAGCCAAAGGTTTAGAGGAAACAAATACTGACCTGTCTGCAAAGATTATGAAAATGTTGAACAAAAATGTCAGTGAACTAAAATAGCCATTTAGGAATGCCAATAAGGAGAAACAAAACATGGCAGAGGAAAGGCATTAAGGAGGAGATCAATATGCAATTTAAAAATCATTAAGACAGTCACTAGCTGTAATGCACTAATACTAAACTGGTTGCTCCTAGAGAGGTGGTGACTGCTGACGTGGGAGGGCAATGCACAACTAGAGCAGAAGAAAAATACCTGCAGTATCACGCTCCCAGCAAAAAAATAACTTGTAAACTTAAATGGACTTCAGAGGCATTAATATATTTTTGATTTATGGGGACACCAAGAGGCCTTTATTGCGTGTGCTCCACTAAATTAAGAAGACAAGCGTGTCCCACGTGCGCGGTGCAGCACGGACGGCATAGCCCCGTGCTCACAGAGGCAGAGAGCAGAGACTACCCCAGCTCAGCCAATTTGGCAGCTCTGGGATCCCAGAGTTACCAAGCTTTATGGCAGTCTTTGTCACAAAGTGGAGCAGTCCCAGCGCTCTTCTTGGACTTCACAGCAGATCCTGCAGATCCACCTCCCGAATGATCGAGGTGCG